TACAAGCATATTTATATATTATATTAAGCATAACATAAATATTCATCATTTACACAGCAAATCATCTACTGGGATACTTCTTAAAAAATCTCACAAGTAATTCCTTCAAACTATTTGACATATAAAATGAATTGCCACACCAAAAAACAAACAGAACTTCAGTAGTTAGACTATATCAATGGCCAGTATTGCTCATTTGTCAAGTTATTACTAGGATATCATAAAATTTGATGCTTCTCAAGCATAATGGAAAAAACAGATTTAAAATACAAATGCTAAAAACAAATGGTACTCACTCATAGCAAGATTACTCACATCACAGGAGTTTTACACTTGTTAAAATGTACTTTATTAACTATTGGTAAAATCTCAGTACTCACATTCAAGAAATTAAAGACAGCTTTTACTACTGCATAACAACCCAACTTCTTTTGCCATCATTTGATTTTTCCTTGTCATTTTATATTTATAAGTTTAGGAACAACATTTTTCCTCCTGAATACTTTTCCATTTGCTATAAAATGATTTTACTTACTGGTTGTTTCCTAGGAGCAGATGTCAATTTTTTTATTCATTTATTTCTCAAATATTTATGAGGCACCTACTGCATGCAAAAGACTGTACTAGGTGTTCTCTCTCTAGTCCTTCACATAGTTAGTACTGTCCTTGTAAGCATGCAAGATCAAAGCATTACAGAATCAGTGCCAAAGCCAGGGAAATCATCTAATCCAAATTCCCTACTTTATGGATGAAAAAACTTGAGTCCCAGAAAAGTTTAGTGCCTCACTTAAAACATCACAATAGCACAACTTGGTCTAGAAACCAGAGGTCTTTATTCTTTATTCAGTGCTTCTATTAAGTCATTTTAAGGACCTCCTATAGACAAGTGGTTCACAACTTTTTCAAGTATACAGACCCTCTTTTCAATGTCCAAAAAGTTCCTTGGACTCCCCAATACAGGATGTTAGACTATCAGTATCTGTTTGACTAAGAAAGTACAGTGACAAAAAGCTATTATGAAGTCAATTTTGCTTTTAAGTGAATTTGTATTTTAGCAGTCACAGCAGCATCTACGTTATCTGAAAACCAGTAATACACATACATATTCAGGAAACATTTTTCAGTCTTCAGAAGTTGTAATTGTTTATAGATTCACATATGATTTCACTGACACTTTAAATAATACTCTAGCTTCCCAGAGGTCTGTAGTCCAGAGGTTGGAAACCACTTTTCTAGGTTAACACATCCCTTTCAGAAAATGGCCCTTAAACACTCACTTGAAGAGAACCACCAAAACAGCTCATAGCTTCATCTCCACCCTGTTGGAGCTGTCCTCTCCTACTAATGCATAAATATCCCTCTTAGCAAATGTCACTCTTTGCATTCCTTCCAAATTTGAACCATGTATTTATCAATCTCAAAGTTTCTGGAAAATGCAGTATTTCTCCACAAAATATTTTAAATAATTATTCTTTAGTTGTAAAATTAATTATGTCCAGTGTAAATAAACTTTTATTAACCACATACTGAGTGTAGGTCTCCATGCTCAGTGCTGGGATACAGAAAACAGAAACAACACAATATGTGACTACGAGGAATTTATATGGGAGAGGGGAAAGAGTGACAGATTATAAGCATAAAAGTTGGCATAATCTAAGGTAGTGAGTGAGGAAGGAAACAGGGAACACCTAAGCAAAGTACTCTAGGAATATTTGAGTAGGAGAAACCTTTCAGCTCAGGAGAGGAAGCAGTGGAGAGAGGCGGGGTACACCAATTCAAGTGAACCTTGTAAAGAACAGAAGGTATCTGCAAGGCAGAAATGAGGAGAGCTATCATTCCAGGTGTGGGGTAGAGACTCCAAGCAGATTCAAGGTCACAGAAGGGTCAGGGTACTGTGTAAAGGGGTGTGTTGATATCCCGGCCCTGCCACTAAGTGTCTGTGTGACCTTGGCCAAGTCACAACTTCTTCAGGCTTCATTTTCCTCATCTGTAAAATGAGACTTGAACTTCACCTCCAAGGTCATTTCCAGCTCTAATTTATGAGCCCATGAGATGGCATGAAAAGTTCAAGGAACAGTAGTCTGCTCAGGCCAGAGCACAGTATGAATAAATAAGAATAATGCTGAAAAGGTTAATTCTAGAAAGAAAGTAGAATGCATGAGTTTTATTCTTGAGGCAAGAGTTCGCAACCAAAGTGCTTCAAGTAAGTGACACGGTGACTACAGAGGCCTTATGAATCTTATTTTTTGGCAACTGAGTGAGTGGAGAAAGTACTAGGAATGGGAGAGATGGTACAAAGGGAGCCCAATGAAAAAACTAGCAGTCTAGGTGAGAGGTGATATGGATCAAAAATAAGGAGGTAGAATTAAGACTGGAAATAAGGGGACAAATACAAGAGAGGTTAAGGAAGTGATTAATAGATAACTGGCTGGAAGAGATGATAAGAGGATAAAGAGGAAAAGATAGGGTTCTAAGCCTGAGTGACAGGAAAATAATTAATGCCATCAAGAGAAATAGGACTTTGATAGACTTGGCTCTTCTCAGCACTGTGAGGATCTAAGACAACTCCAAAAGACTCACAATGGAAAATGCTATCCACATCCAGAGAAAGAACTACGTAGATGTAGATGGAAGCATACTATTTGCTCTCCTTTTCCTTTGTTGTTTTGTACTATTGCTTCTTTCTTGGGGTTCCTCCCATTAGTTCTAATTGTTCTTTAGATCATGACTGTTCCTAACCTTTAAATGCTTAAAAAGTCAACAGAAAAACAAATTTTTCATTATTAAATGATCTTATTCTGCTGAATAAACAATAGTCCTCTAAAGTATATTCCACACTGCCCTTGAAGCATTGTTCATGAGATTGTTTCAGTTAAGCCTGATAAAGCAGAAAACATTCTCTCTTTCTGAGAGAATCTAGAATTTTTTCAGAGAACATAAATTCGGGAACCATCTATTTAATTAATGACATTAGGCACAAGACAATAATACAAGTTCACTTATGGAAGCAAAGTATACTTATACATGTTCACAAATCATTTTTTTGTATTCTGTGGCTTGAATTAGATTCCTTAAATAAAAGCTCCAGGAGGTAGACCACAAAGAAAAACAGTAAGATCCCTATCAGCTTCTTTTTAGCAACCAGCTCCACAGAGAAAGTAATGCTTACAAATAGTTGAATAACCAGGTTTTGCTGAGTGGAATATATGATGGTCCAAAAAAGCAGAAGGTGGTCCTCATCTGGCCCACTTGCCCAATTCTAAGGAGAGCTTCGAGGGCAGCTGTCAGCCAAACAAGATCCTCTTAATGGAAGCAAAAATGTATTTTCTTGCACATGGAAAGCTTGCCAACTTGCATAATCAAGAGACAGCCCTAAAGATGTAACCCAAGAAACATCCTAGTTTGAAACAAACCTTTTCAATTTGTGATGTTTCAATTCCATTAAACTTGAGAGTTCAGAAATAAGAAAATAAGGTGTACTACTTTAAAAGAGCCCTTAACATTAAATAATGTGAATGAATAATCATGTTAAGCAGCACTAAAGTATATGGTTGTGTAAGTAGACATTCTATGGGAAACTACAATACTGCTACAACACAGAGTGTAATTTGTACTTATACAGTATAAAGAATGATGTTCCCACAGGAAAATAATTCAATTTCTCTTTGTGAAGGAAATTAAAATAAAGGACAAATACATTAAAAAGAACAATACAAAGTAATGATGTACAAAATACGATTCAGAGAGAAAGTAAAAACAACCAACATGAAAAACATTTCCATTTTCTGTGAAAATGTACCATATTCACTCAGGTAATGAAATAGTTTAAACTAACATACATGTTAGTTTAACAGCTGATTGTCATCCTGGTTCCTTTTAAAGACTGCTTTCCTATTTGATAGATATTTTTCATCAGTTGTGAACAATCGATGCCATAATGCAAGCTAGTCTGGGTTTCAAAAGCAGCGCATTAACTTTGTCAACAGCTAAGGCATGAACTGCCTCCTCTCTCAGCCATTCCTACTTGCACATTTTTCTATATAAATTTCCAATAATGGTAAGAATGAATGGCAAAAAAGACAAGGACTCAAATGCTTAAAGTGCAGGTTAACCCCTACTATACTCAAGTACAAAGTGTCGTGTGTGGTTCCAGTATTACTGGAGAAATGCAAGATAAAATAAGCAAGATCTGGATCTTATAATAGTAAAGGTACATAAAAATACATAAAGCCTACTTACATCTTTTTCACACACTGTCAAATTCGTGAATAACAAAGCATTGTCAATGAACGAGTTAAGTCCCTTTGATCCCCACAACAACCCCGTGAGGTAGGTGTTATTATGATTCTCACTTTATAAATGAGAAAACTGAGGCTGAGAGAGGTTAAATAACTTGACCAGTTACACAGATCATAAGTGAATAGCAACATACCCTGACAATGCTCAGATCTTTCCTCCTAAGAAATTCCATGTGCTCTGAATATATTAATTTATTTGTCCTTAGAACTACTCAGTGACCTCGTTTACATTTACTTAGCACTTCAAGGTTTCCTAAATGCTCTCCTCACAAGAACTCTATGGGATAGTACTGCAAGTATAATCATCCCCATTGGAAATATGGGGAAACATATTTGGAGCAATTAAATGATGTGTATACCACCACAAACTGATGGGTGAGTCAGACCGGGAGTCTGTGCAGGTCTGCTGAGCCCCACATTTCGAGCTCTTTCCTCTATACCACAGTGCTCTCGGAATGCTGTCAGGTCCCCTTTCTAAACAGAGAGCTGTCATCTGGAGCTTATGTTACCTGCCCTAATTCTGGCAGCTGGTCAAGAGAGGAATCAAGAGAGGCAGCCATCTGATGCACACTATCCGTTACATTATGCTTCCCAGGCTCGTTGTAGATATAGCATAGCTTTAGCTGTTCTTTATTATGGCATCCTAGTAGTTTACAGACAAAAAAATCATCAATAGAGGCAAGAACATGTAACAAACAGTACCTCGGCTTCCCCACACTCAGCTGCTGTATCCTTGTGTATGGCCATTTGATACTTGGCATATAAAGAGAGTGACTGGCGGAAGGACGACTTGAACTCTGGGTCCTCAAAGGAAACAGGTACTAACCTCACCTTCAGGGCAAGGAAAATACAGGTATATTATATTGAAATTTCTCTCTCATGATATGCTTCTGAAGGCAAGGCTAGTGTAAGATCTCCTCAACTCCACTTCCAAAGCTCAGCATTGGAATCTTACCTGAAATGGAATAAGCCCTACTAAGGGTTAAGTGGCATAAAGCCTATACAAGACTCATGAAACTAATTCTAGTTTTAAATCTCTTTAAGGGTCAAGGCTGCATCTACTATTTGTTTCTACCCACTTACTACAGTTCTGTTTACAGTGAACATTCAATAATTATTACTTGCTTAGAATAATAGCAACATACTCAGCTTCTACTCTATTCTCCCTCCAGAAGCATTAACTTTATCTTAGGGATTTTTAAAATTATTTGATTACCCAAATTATGAAGTGGTCAGAATACTATGGCATTTAATAATCTACTTTATTTTTCTAGTTTCAGGTGTGCATTGGAAGTATAAGATAATTTTCCAAGTATAAAATACATGACCTACAAAGATTTATCACTGACTATAATTTTGACGTCTCTAAACACATTAACAATGTGTAAAGTAAAATTACCTACTTTTTGTGGTACATACCATTTTGAGGTTATATATCATTGGTATCTAATGAAATTTGCACTCCCAGAATGTCCATTAGTTTGCTATTTCTCTTTGAAGATTTGCTTCAAACAGACTATGAACAACATGTACCATAAAATAAACTTCATTCTCTAAACCAGGATTCATGCAATGGTGTTAAGTGTAGGGGAAAGTTCAAATTGAACATAAAAATTATACTTGGCCTTCTGACCTGGCTTACAGTTGGTTTATCAGGTGGGTCCTTGTGAATAACCATCTGGTAACGTTTATAGACCTGGTAAGACTCCTGAAATGTGGCTTTGAACTGGGAACTTGGTGGGGATGATCTCACCACCCTCACCTTCAGAAGGAGTTGAAAAACAATTCTCATTAATAAAACAAATTGTAATTACTCATACCTGAAAATAGATGAAAGAATTTTTTTTTAATTTTAAAATAGGCATATAACTATATAGCTTATTGATAACATTAAAACTGAATCACTTAATAAAACATTTAAGCTAAATCAATTAATAAAACTTTAAAAATCTATTATTTCTGTCAACAGAAAAGCCCCACACATTACAGGAGGCACTCTCAATTTTTACTTGCTAGTTCTGAAGTGAATGGAAATATGCTTATTTAACCAAACTATTACATTTCTAAAGATGATTTAAATTATTGATGGCTTTCAATTTTGATGTCTGGATATCTATGAACTACATCAGTATGTTCCTAGAGTTATCTTACAAAACAAAACAAAAAATAAAGATTTTAATATGATTTGGTTAAAATGTTCTTTCTATAACATAAAATTATAGAAAGGACCAACAATTCTTATCAGTTTGCATTATCAGAAAATCATACAGTAATAACCCATAAAATCTGAACAACACTGAATTCATGGTTCAAGTAGTAGCTGGAACTATACATGAGCAAAGGACATGCTGTAGAAGAACAAGCCTAGACCTTGCCTTCCCCTACCATCTGAGATCATAAGAACTATGCAAATCTGTGACAAGGGACTGATTTAGTAACCCCATTCTTTCCCCAATTCAGAAGACTCCCAGGTTTCAGGTGGTATTAGAAGTCTGGACAGCTGACCAAATAAAAAGAGACCTACTCTTTACCAATTCCCAATTCCTTTCCCTTTGTGAGGGAAGACTGAACCCTAAAGTAATATCTTAATCCTAGAAGAAGGCATGGTTCCCAGGGGAGTTGGAACTAACCAGAGAAGCAAAGAAAGTTGTCTTAAAACTGTATCTGGGATAAAATAACAGGGTCCTGTGTGTTTTTCATTTTCCATTAGGTGAAAGAGATATAGATAGATAGAGATAGATAGATAGATAGATAGATAGATAGATAGATAGATAGATAGACAGACAGACAGACAGACAGACAGACAGACAGACAGACAGACAGATAGATAGATAGATAGATAGATGGATGGATGCAGACAAAAGCCATATGCAGATGTTACTAGATGAGATTCCAGGTGGGGGTTATGAGCCAAAGAGAAATTTTGAAAGATGTCTCCAAAATGAATTTAGTCTATATAAACCCAGAATGGGCTTTATAGACCTCAAATTTTAATTTTTTGTTGTTGTTACTGTTTTTCATCATGCTGTGGATAGAGTGCTATATTCCAATACCTAGGATCAAATCTTGGCTCAGATATTTAGTAATTGTGTGACCCTAGGCAAGTCACTTAACTGTCCTAAACTGAATCTTCAAAAAGGAATAATTACAGCACTTACCTCACAAAGTTGTTGTAAGGATTAAATGAGATAATGCTAAAAAGCTATATAAATGTTATTAGAGGAATTACTATTTTTGAGGGGAGTAGCTTTGCTTATACTGTCTACTGTAGTTATGGTCAAAAATATTACTTTTTGAAAGTAATATGAAAACAGAAAGTAAACTAGACTTTACCTAAAAATGATTTTTCTTTCTCCAAATCAGCTCTACAAGAAAAAAAACCGTTATGTATTATGTATTATGTTCATTATGTACTAAGTTCAAGAAAGATTTAGTTAATAATAGACTCATAATTGCAGAAATTGCCTATGTTTTGGAGCATATTCCTAACCTTCTGAGGTAAAAATCCCTTGGAACCACTGCCAGGCTGAGAATCTTTGACTGGATGAACATTGTCTGACTCAATGTGAAAATACTAGGAATTATGTGTAATTCCCCCCCACACCTAATTCAAATTCATAATCCAAATCCAATTTTAATAAATCCAGTTTTAATGTATATTATTCTCTCTTTTAGTTTAACTAAAAGGAAACTTTGTTATACCAAAGAGTCAGAGCGCCCTCTACTGTGAAACATTTTATTTTTATGGCTATTTCTACATAAAGGTCTAAGTTGGCAAGGCTTTTCAAAAGTAAATAAATAACAGCATTCCAAAATAGAAATTAAACTTTTAAATTTGGAAAATTTAAAATCTATGTCATAGCAGTCCACATCATTTACTTCCTTCTTATTCAAACAACATAGTTTAAATTTTCTAATTTTAACTGAAAGATAAAACTGAACAAAAAAATCATTATGTAACAGAATACCTCTAATTGATGTGCAGCATCCTCAGGTAAGGTGTCAAAAATGAAATCTTCAATGGATTTAGGCTGATTTAATTTAGGTTTTTCTGAGGGAAAAGGTTGTGGTTCACGCTGAACTTGAGAGCCTTCAAGCTTATCTGTTTGACTCTTAAGAATGAGTTTCTGCCTTTTCCTTTCTTTCCGTATATCCTTTGCTTTTCGACATGGAGGCTTACTCAAATCAGCCCCTTTACCTAAAATGACCAAGATATATGTCAAGATTTTTCTCTAGGTAAAAAATATTTTTCAAAAACACAATAATCCTCCAGGTTATCCCAAAGTCAGAGATTGCTACTGCCAAACCGAAACAGGCACTTGTATAATACAGTGGGTCGCCATTTTGCTGACTACTATTCTCCATCACTAGAATTCACTATGAAGATACGCAGCTCAACACAATAACATATAAAGTAATGCAGGACTTGGGAGTCAAAAAGAAGTAGTGATTCAAACTTCACTTCAGGTCTTTCCTACTACTGTGAAACCAAGGCCAAGTTATTCAACCTCTCTGAGCCTGTTTCTTCATAAATTGAGGACAATGTGCCCACCTCACAGTTCAGCTCCCCCATAGTTGAAGTCATTTTGTCTGGGTTCTGAAACAAAAATAAAGTGGGCCTAGTTGAGAACAACTTCAAAGTCTAGTCCCAATCTGTATGGGTCTAGATTACATTGGTCAACTGACCATCCTAGAAAATCTGTCTGCTAAAAGAGAGATATTGAACTTTTCACAGAAAACTTGAAGATTTTTAAATTTTAAAACAGCTTTTAGCCCATGAGGAAGTAGTAATTGTATAAAATATCAGTACAAATGGGGAAAAAATTACTTCATTCAGAAAATGCTTACAGACTAGTCTTGTTACACTAGTGAAAGAAATACTAATTAAACACTTCAATTTCAGTGCTATGGAAGTTTTGCAAATCAAATTCTGGGGTGGATATTAAAATGAAAATGTTTTTCAAGTTCATGCAACTATCAAATTAGAAATGAAAGGCTAAGAAGATTATTAAAAATTTCATGACTTTCATTTTTCTTACTAAAACATCAAATTATGTTACTAAAAACAAATATAAGAAACTATGAAATTAAAAGTTTATGTAACCTACTCCCTTTAGTTTAACTAATTCAGAAAGCACTATCTACTGGTCATCTGTTTACCCAAATTTTTATATAAACATTATCTTGGAAAACATGTGCTTATATCCTAAACATCTCAATCTGGAATTTTTTAGCACAAATGAACTTGAAAACATGGTTACATCACCTTAGGATAATCTAAACCTTTCTCATATAAGCCATCTAAATTTACAGTGGATTGTGTTTTTAAAAATGTATTTGTAAAAAGGCTATAAGGATCTCAGAAAGCAACTTGCAATAGAAACAATTTACATGATAGATAATTAAGTTCTTGGGCCAAGCCAAAAAAGCTTGCTTTGAAGCTACTGCTCTCTTGCACTCTGTGTGTGTGTATACACACACATAATCACATATACATACATACATATATACATATGTATATATACACATACACACATATATACAGAGAGAGAGAGAGAGAGAGAGAGAGAGAGACTTAAGTTGTCCTCCCAATGCCTCATCATGGACTATGCCAGCAGAGAGCATTCCCCGACTGGTAGGCTTCTAGGTCAATTAACATCTCTCTTGTTTAAGCACAAGCTTAGTTCAGAAAGTATCAACATCAAAAGATTAGCCACAAGGTAATATTTTTTTTTTCAGCCACCATAAATCAAAGCAGCAGTTTTCGAAGGCATAGAAGGGTTGTAATCTGCACAAGGAGAAAGATCAACTCAAATTAAATGTCTAATGGTACTATAAAGCCCACATCAGTGTCAATATCTATGTATTAATAATGTTTCTATAAGAAAACACTTTGAGGGTTTAACTTGGGACAAAAGAAACAAATCCATTTCCCATTCACTTGGTATAAAAAGAAATTTCTCAGGGGTAGCTAGGTGGCACAGTGGATAAAGCAGCAGCCCTGGAGTCAGGGGGACCTGAGTTCAAATTCTAGGCCTCAGACACATAACACTTACTAGCTATGTGACCGTGGGCAAGTCACTTAACCCCACTTCCTAGCCAAGAAAAAAAAAAAGAAATTTCTCATCCCTTCCTCATCAAATTCTAGCTATCCTAGAGTGATAGCTCCCACGGATTCAGGCAGGGGCAATAGCAAGATGCATGTAATTGGGTTATGGATAGTGAAGATAAGGGAGATAGGGTAAGGAGATGAGAGGAAACAAGCCACTTGAAACAATAAACACTAGAGGACACTTTCTAGTTAGCAAGCTCCCTAGTTAGCCCTTTTCTGTTCTTCTATGTGTCTCCTCCTATCTGCTTGCTTTCTACTGCTGGGACCTACTGCTATGGACTAGAATCTATCTTCTTCCTCAGCCCTCAAAAATCAACTCCCACACCCATTTAATGGACAGAAGAGATTTGGGATAAACACCGCCTATGGAGAGAAGAACAAGACAGGACCGCTTGGCTGAGGAGACAATAGCTCACAATTTTCTCACAAATCTGGAGTTACACAATTCAATTCTGTTTATCAAGCATTTATAAAGTACCTATTATACACAAAACATTCTATTAAGTTCTAGACACATTAAAAAACCTCTGAGAGCTTCCACTGTACTGTGCACATACAACATTCACACAGAACAACTGGGGGGATAGGGGAAGGCTTCTCGTGAAAAATGGCTCCTGACATGAACCCTAAAGAAAGTGAAAGATTCTAAGAGGCAGAGTTTAGAAGGCCGCGCATTCCAAAGATGTATGATAACCTACACAAAGGCACAGAAGTGAGAGCTGAAGTGCAGGTAACAGCAAGAGATCGGTTTGATGGGAATCTAGAATGCATGCATGGGAAGTGTATAGAATAAGTTCAGAGAGGCAGTCTGGAATTTAGACTGGGAATGCCAAGCTGAGGAGTTTAAATTTTATCCTAAAGGCAACAGGGTACCACTAAAACTTCTTGAAGAGGTAAGGGGTATACTCAAACTCTGCTCTAGGAAGATTATTGTGGCAACTTCTGGAAGACAGACTGGACAGGAGAGAGAATAGAAGCAGGGACACCAAACAGGAGGTTGCTGCTATCATCTGAGCCTTGATCCTGAGAACTGAGTTGGGATTGCCCAAGCAGGGGCCGGTGTGGAAAAGGAAGTAATAGTTGCTTAATTAATGGTTACCAAATAGTTCCTCAAGGGAAAGTGTTGTTTCTGGCTTTTATTCAAAACAAGGAGTGAGGAGAAATATGTTAATTCACAAGGTATCAAGTCCATATAATGAGGAGATGCAACACATCCAGGTTTTATTGTATATGAAAGAATGCTGGTAATTAAACTACTAGCTTAAGTTGTTGTTCAATGCCCATAGTGACCACAGCAAAAAGAAAAACATTCTTTCAACATGGCATGAGCCCAATCTTCAGTACCTGGTTTGGGAGCTGAGGGAATAACTCTGACAGAACTTGATGGCTCACCAGACCCCAGTTTCTCTCTTTTAGCATGTGACTGATTTAATTCTTTAGTTTCCTTAGCTTCCAAGTTTTCTTCTTTCTCCTTCACTTCACTCTCTATGACCTTGTTATAATCTTCACTGAGGGGTCTATGGTCAGACTGTACCTCCAACTTGCTTTTTAGAACAAAATCATCCACAGCAGCATCATCCATTTGAGAATCCATGGGCTCTTCTATAAATTAGGGGGGGGAAAACTGCATTGAGTAACTCAGTACTTTAAGATATCCAAATTTAGGATGAAAAGTATTTTTTATAACATGAATATATCATACACAAACTAATTATTCTTAAGTTCACTCAAAATAATGACAGTTTCTAAATTCAGATTTTTTTAAAACTTGAATCATAAAATGTTAGAGCTTGAAGGAATATTAAAAGATCATTTAATCCAATCGCCTTTGTTTTATAAATGAGGAAACTAGTGTCAAAAAAGTTAAGTGATTTCCCCAAAGTTACAAAGCTAATGGAAGAATTCAACTTGAAACCAGGGCTCCTTTCTCCCAACCCAGCATTCTGACCACTACATAAGCAAAGACAATGATCAGCTTATAAATAGGATGCGTTACAAAAAGTTCATTTGTAAATCAGTTGTGTAGAACTTAGAATGTATTTTTCCCATGGAAATCATAGCATAATGATAGTTAACCAAAACAAAATCTATTTTACTCATGTTGCAGTTGGATTATAACTCTAATAATAATTCTAAAGCTCCTTGAACTCTGTAAGGTTTACTGTAATGCCATTTTAAACCTGGAAACGAAACTGAGAAGACCTCTATGAACTAACAGAGCATGGAGTGAGCAGAACTAGATCAATTTTTACAATGACAACAACATTATAAAGAAAAACTCTGCAAGACTGCAGAATTCTGATCAATACAATGATAAACCACAGAGGACTGAAGGTAAACCATGTCACTCATCTCCTGAGCAAGAGGTGATGGGCTTAAAATTGCAGAATGAGACATATGTTTTTCAACATAATCAATGTGGGAATTTGTTTTGCTGGCCTGTGAATATTTATGAGAGTTTTCTTTTTCTTTTTTTAATTGTTCAATAGAAGTATGGGCGCAGCAGGATGCAGAAATAATATGCTTCCAAAAATAAAAACAAAAACAAACAAAAAACGTATGGGGAAAATAAAGCCAGTGAACCTGTAGATTGTGGAGGGTCCTTTGCGAAAAGCTAGTTTAGCTACTATGATTTTAGAAGAATATGAGAAATCTATACAGGTTCAAAGGAAAAGCCATTCATTACATGGAAGCAAGGAATTCTGATAGTGGTTCTCACAGACATGAGTCAATCAAAATTACTTATTTGTGCCTCAGTATAAAAACAACAATTACATCTTTCTTCACTCATCACTCAGAATAGCTAAGGTCACCTAAATATCCTTAAGAAGGATAAATTAAATTATAGTTTTGTTGAGTTTTTAAAAAATACTTGTTTAGAACCACATTCAATCTTACCTTCATTATTCCCTCTGGAAAATTCTCCTTTAGACAAAAACTTGAACATTTTCTTTAAAACTTTCTTATGAGATTTTGATGGCTGGAAATGTAAAGGTTGGCATCTAAGAAAGGAAGTTAAAAAATTACACTTAAATTTCAAACAAATACAATTTGTTCTAGATAGCGCCTAAATCTTCTGGCCAGTTATATCTCTGAGTACAGAGAAATACTTATAAAGATACCTATTGTCAACACATCAAGTAGCTACTTAGATTCTACAAAATAAGCAATTTTACTTTGCTACATAATTTGCAAATATCTCCTCATATAAACAATAAGGATTTATTTAAACTAGCGTAATGAATTCATTAAAGATTAGGAAAAAATTGGATACTAGTCTATAAAGCTAAACCTAAAATGTAGCATTACAAATATTTTAGAAAATGATGACAACACATGCTAACTGCAAAATATTTCCTAATTTAACACTCCTTTAATAAGATAAAGCGCATTCCCCAGTGATTTAACTTCATTACATAAAAAATTAGCATAATACTTGGCAAAAAGCTTTTTAAAAGTTACTGATCAAAATAAACGAACTAATATCCCAACCTTAGAAAATAATTGGTTTAACTTGCCAAGCACACATTATGGGAGTAGCAATCAGATTTTGCCCTAGATCAGACCACTTTCAGAACAATGAAAGTTTGCAGTTCCCAAGACTATTCTAGAATCCTGGATTAACACAACACTCAGTACTCCAAGAAACAGTTAGTAAGACAAGCCCAGAACTTCCTTCCAGTGTGAAGAGCCTAGCTCTAACACCAAGTCCAAAGTCAGGCAGTATAACTAAAAAATGAGCTAATAAATAAGAACTCCCCCACAATGAGCAGGTGGCAGGAATGCTCAAGACACAAACACTGAAAAAGAGAACCCCAAAACATCTATAAGCAATACCTCAGAGAAAAACACAGGTTGGCCACAAATTCAACTAGAATTCTTAGAAGAGTTCATAAAGCAAGAGTTTAAAAAAAAGAGTTATAAAATATTTTTATAAATGGAATGAGAACACTTACGGAATAAATTGGTAAAGAAATGAGATAGATGCAAGAAAGAAATAGAAAGGGAATTAACAGCTTGGCACAAGAGGAACAAAACCTTGCCTAAGGAACAAAGTCCCTGAAAATCAGAACGGACCAAACAGAAGCAAATAACTCCATGAGGCAATAAGAAATATTAAATCAAAGTTGAAAGGCTGAAAAAATAGATGAAAACGTAAAGGATCTCACTACAAAAACAAGTGATCTTGAAAACAAATAGACAAGAAAAAATTTAAGAATCATTGGACTATCTGAATACCATGACCAGAAAAGGAGCCTAGATAATATATTTCAAGAAGTCATAAAAGAAAAGTGCCCAGATCTTAGAACCAGAGGACAAAGTGAAAAAAGAAAGAATTTATTCATTACCTTCTAAAAAAAAACACCATAGTCAAAATCCAGAACTTCTAGGTTAAAGAAAAAATTGTTTAAGAAGAGAGAAAGAAAGAATTCAAGTACTGAAGAGCCACAGCCAGGATCATACACACTTCAGCAGCTATCACTATAAAGTAGCAGGGAACTTGGAATATGATATTCCAGAAGGCAAAGAATATGGGTTTATAGCCAAGAATAAATTATCCAGCAAAACTCAGAGTAATAGGGGGCAGCTAGGTGGCACAGTGGATAGAGCACCGGCCCTGGAGTCAAGAGTACCTGAGTTCAAATTCAGCCTCAGACACATAACACTTACTAGCTGTGTGACCCTGGGCAAGTCACTTAACCCCACTGCCTAGACAAAAAAAAAAAATACTCAAGTGTAATGCTGGAAAAAAAAATGGTCCTTTATTGAAATAGAGGATTTCCAAGTATTCCTGAAAAAGACCAGAGCTACAGAGAAACTCTGAAGTTCAAACACAAATGAGAAGACAAACACAAAAAGGTAAACACAAATAAACAATGATAAAAAAACTAAACAAGGATAAACTGCTTATATTCAAATACGGAAAGATGATAAATAAGTACCCTCTGATCCCTATCATCATCAGGGTTCATAGAGAGAGTCCTATTAAACAAGGTCTGGGAATAGTCCTGTTATGTCTTGATGATTTTAATAAAAGAATGGAAAGAGGGAAAAAGGAATGCATGGGAAGGAAGAAAAAAGGTTAGGGAAAATTATCCCATACAATCAGGGTACACAAGTAGACATCTATAATAATAAGGAGTCCCAGGAGTGGGACTGACAACTGACATTCAAACCACTCTCATCTGACCTAGTCAAAAGAAGAACATACACACATACAACATACAAACACACACAGGTAAAGAAAATTCATTTCACTCAATAGAGTTATAAGAGGGAAAAGCAAGAAGTGGGGAAGAGGGAATCAGAGGGAGGATAAATAAAGGAAGGTATTAATTCTAAGCAAAACAAAATCTAAGGATGCACATATTTATAGCTTTTTTTGAGGTGGTAAAGAATAGGCCATAAACTGGGGAATGTATGAACATGTTATGGTACATAAACGTGATAGAATATTAATGTTGCAGAACTCGTATCAGTACAAATGACCAACCAGGATTCCAGAGGACTAATTATGAAACATGATACACACTTCCTGATAGAGACATGAAAGACTCAGAATGCAGAATGAAATAAATACTTTTAGGACATGACCAATGTGGGAATTTGTTTTAGTTGACTATTTGTAATGGCATTTGTTTTTCTTGTGTTCTCAAAGGGGCTGGGGGAGGCGGGGGAGGTAAAAAAAAGCAGATCTTGTCTGATAAAAACAAATTTTTTTTAAAAATTAAAAAAGAAAATAAAAGAAACTGACCAACCACAATTTCTAAAGATTCATGATGAAACATGCTTGACCACCTCTTGAGAGAGAGGTAATGGACTAAGAATGCAAAATGAGGCCTTTTTTTTTTAGGCCAATGCAAAACTTTGACTACAAATGTTTCTAACAGGTTTTATTTCTCTTGCTTTCTCAGTAGGAGAAGAGGGAGTGTGTGTGTTTGTGCGTCTGTCTGTCTGTACACACTCAATCAGGGAAAGAAGAGAGAGGGAAAGAAGACTGATCTTGGAGAATAAAATAAAATTTTATTTAATATTAGAAAAGTTGAACAATAGAAGCCAGGGTATTTCACTAAGAAAACAAATGTTAATGCTGAAATGAATACAAAATTATATTTAAATGCTACTTACTATACACACACTGTATTAAACCAGCAAAGTTTTTATTAAATTGGCTCTAAAATGGCTACAATCTTAGAAACATAGCTGTGTACCTCTTCCTAGCAGAATTCCTTACTTCCTTCAAAGAACGGCTCAATCTTTTTGTTATAGCAATGAACTAGAAGCTGAATTAGAAGAACAAGAGATACCTGGAAAGAATGATGTGTTCATGTAGTATGAAATGGGCAAAACCAGAACAATTTATACAATAACATTATAAAGAAAAATAATTGTAAAAGACTAAATAAAGAACTCTGATCAATCTGATGACTAATCAGGATCCCAGAAAGCTAATGATGAAGCATACTTCACCCACCTCCTGATTGAGAGTCAACAGAATAAGACATACATTTTCAGAACAGCCAATGGTGGCTAGGGATAGGGTTGCCAGAAAAGAAAAGAAGGTCAATGAAATATTTTATAAAAGTACAGAAAAATACAGAAGGCCAGAAGGAACCATAGAAAAGCAACACAGCTGGAAAGTTACCAATATGATGTTTGGCACATATCATATATACTCAATAAATGCTTACTGCTGGTAGAAAATTTTTCTTTTCAAGGAAGTTTTTTTTTCTTGGCAAAACCAGCTACCTGGTATGGACTATCATAGGCAAGACTAACCATGTGAAAGGGGGATTAAAGTCATGTATCTGTCCAAAGGTGGCACAACTAGAAGTAGAACACGAAAAAGATGATTTTAAGTATAATGTCTAGAAAACCTTCTAACAACACAGCTGTACAAAAATAAACTGGACTGCCTTAGGAGATAGGAAGTTGCCCCAAAATGGAGTATTTAAACAGTAGCAGATGACCACTTATTTGGTATGTTATAGTACATATGAAAACAAAGAAAAAGCATCATGAAGTAGAACTCTCAATATTACAATGAGCCTCTACTTGCAATCCTAGTCAGTCCATCAGTCAGTCAACAGGCTTTTATTAAGAATTAACTAAGTGCTAGTCACTGTACAAAATGCTGGAAATACAAAGAAAAGTAAAAATATTCCATGCTCTCAAGAATTCACATTCTAATGGAAGAAGACAATCTGTAAAAAAAAAAAAAGATACATATGTGGTAACGGTATTTATTGTGACAGGGTTCAAGAGAATGCAACTTTCATACCAGGGCTCTACTATTTCTCTCACTTCTGTGCTTCAAAGAGCATTTGCAATACAAAGTTCTTACCTTATTGTGTACTGAGGACAACACGTTTGATTCATAACAGGTTTGTATACGTACTTGCCACTTCTAAAACAATAAAATATTCTTGTTAATTTCTCAGGCATTTTTCCTGTACACACAGTAGATTAAAAATAAAATACTTCTCAAAGTAAAAATCCAATGACTAGTATAAAAAAGGCTTTACTTTTAATTGCCTTTCCTCAAATATTTTTTTCATCTCTTAACAAATATATAAATCAAAAATGTTTCTTTTCTTCTAAACTTCAATATAAAAAAATTTTATTTTCAATAAAAAAATAGTTTCAATAAAAAGGATGTAGGAAAGTACCAACTTCAAAAGGGCTATCTCTATGGCTACTGAAACGATACAGGTCCAGTCCAGACCTAGGATTTCATTGGTGTATGGACTCCCCTCTATCATGCAGAGCAGTACCTGCTCTAGTACTGAAAGGTTAAGTGACTTGCCTATTGTCAAACAGCCAATAGATGTCAGAAGTTGTAATAGACCTAGTTCTTCCAGATTTGAGTCAGTCTCCCTATCTACTACTATCTTTATTCATGTTCAATCACTCAAGACTAAATTCAATGACATAAATTAAATTTGGGCTGAATATTGTTATGCAAAAAAATTCCCACTAAAGTCCAACTATGATGCTTCATCAGAGTGTGAACAAGGTCCTGGGAGTTAAAGCTCTGGCAGAAGTCCTCCCCAAACAGAAAGCCTTTGAGCAGGGGGATTCATCAACAGAATGGAAACCCTGCTGTCCAAGGCCCAATTTGTTTAAGTTCAGAAGGACTCTTTTTATCATCAGAGTTTGGGCTACCAAGCAATTAATTTTTTCATCCATATCTACTCATGAAAACTGTATGCTAAGATATGGAGTGACTAAAATCCACAATGATGAAGAAAGTAGACACAGCGCTGAAAGGAAAGGTTTTTGAAGTATGTAAAAGTAAAAATTAAATGAGCAGGACTATCATAATGACATCCTTAGGTTCAACGCCACAAGAAAGTATTATAATCAAGCCTTTCTAATGGCTCAGTTAAACTAAAGTGGACAGATTCCAAAGTTTAATCATTTTATACTGAAGTCTACATTAGTATGAAGTTAAGTAATAGCAGGATTACTTTATCTGATAAGTCTAATTGAATAAGATGCAGTATAATTTGCAGCTAACATGAGAAATTAAAGGTATTCACAATTTTAAGAAGTCAAAGACTAAAAGTATTAACAGCAATTAAATTTTGAGGTTAAAGAATAGTAGCAACAATCGCAACAACATCTTACATTTTTAAGTGTGTTTACATACTTGATCTCACTTGATCCTCACACTATCCCTATGAGGTAGGTGCCATGATAACAGCATACCCACTTCACAGCTAGGCAAGACATGACTACACAGGTGCTCCTGAAAACAAGTTTAGTATTCTACCTATCAGAGATGCAGGGGCAAAATACATTTTATTGCTTAAACACAATACTAATTTTTCCACAATTAATTTAAATGCAAAAAAGTTTGAAAATACATTCTGGAAAAGCCACTTAGCATAATGGATAGAGAACTAGCCTCCGAGAAAAGAAGATCTGGTTTCAAGTCCCATCCATAACATGTCCTGTCTGTGTAACCGGGGCAAGTCACTTAATCTTTCAGTGATCTAAGTAATTATATAAGATTTACTCTTTGTTACAAAGAAGGAGCCAACCCACACTGGACTCTCCTCACCCAGGAGTTCCCTATGCTACTAAAATTACAGGTCTGTTCCCTATCCTGATTTTAAAGTTTTGTTAGTGACTTATTTTTCACACCACTAATTTCTAAAATAATACTCCCACTGAACTGACCTGTAACCGTTAAGCAAAAACAATCCCAACCAACATAACTGAGACATTCTGTACAATACCCCACTACCCTTCACCTATCTACTGTGGTATCTGCTCTTTTGTACTGACCAAGACTAGACACTAAAATCAGCTGCTAGGAAGGTTTAACTTTGTGGCAATTTGAATGTATAAGTTCTATGAAGAAATCACTGGGCTAGAAAATATCTGTATTAGGTGGTTTTACCTTCGCCATCCACGGTCTATAAGAGCTTGGTAATCCTGAACTGTCATTGAATGTGCCCACATGCCTGTTATCAATAAATAAATGTCAAAGTTAATAATTCCAGCAGATTAAACTTTTTAAAATAAAGTGTAAACTATATAAAAATATAAACTCTAACTTTTTTAACTATGAAAACAAACATCAGTAGCAAAACACAAATATTTTGTCCTGATGGGAATTACGTTTATCCAAGGACTTCACTTATTAGTATTAACCCTTGTACTATTACCTCATACATCAAGAAATCAACATTTATTAATGTGTCACACACAATGCTAGGAGTTATAGACACAAAGACAAAAACAAAACAGCCCTCAAGGAGCTTGTTTCATCAAGGATTTACCTCTAACTCATCTTGTAAAAAGGTACGTAATCTGGTTCTCTTTCATTTTCTAAAAATGTTTGGGTCATTCCCATGTCTGAATGAGAAATACCTTGGCTAACAAGCCACTATTCACCCATGTATGTGGTCAGGTTAGGTGTGCCTAACAGGTCAAGGTGCCACAACCTCTACACAGATGTACCAAAAGAATAATCAATGACATTGCGGCAGTCTTACCACTGCTTAGGGACCTCTGGTAAATGCTGTCCTTGAAGCTGCCTACAATACAGCCAACTGTGTAAGAATGCCCCAACAACACCCAGCACAGAGGACATATCAGGAAAATCCACAAGCCAAACAGATTTCCCAAAACTACTAATTTCATAAGTCCCACTTGGCTCTTTTACTTTCCTTCCCACTTGGACTGCTAGACAGCAGGGAAGACCGTTCTTCCTTCCTCCCCACTCTCCTACTCCAGGTTACACAGAATCCACTGGGACACTAGCCCCCTCCCCAGCTGATTTTCAACAACCCACTCCTGTAGAAGGTAACCCACAGGCCCATTCCCCACTTCCCAAGAATAGCAGGCAGGTTCCTCTACTAGAACTCAAGCCTTTAAAGGTAAGGTGGTTATTCATATCATTCTAAGCAGGAAGTCAATCCTTCCAATAAGATGGAAAACATTTAGGCCTTATTATCTGCCTTGCCACTGTATCTTACAGTCTTCTGAGCCTTACCTTTCTTCCCTGACACTATGCCTTGAAACCTCAAGACAGAGCCATCTAAATTGTCAATGTACCCTAAAAGACCCCTGCCACTGAGCCTTGTCAACTGCCCCACTTCTCCATCTTTAGGACTCCAGGCTTCTCCATCCATTACAAAGCTGAATTCTCTTATCCATGTTATCTCCCCAATTATGCTGGGAATTCCTTGAGAAAAGGGGCTGTCACATTTTTCTATTTATATCCCAAGCATTTAGCAAAGTTTTTATACATGGTAAACACTTTTTCCATTCATTCAACATGCTTTATTCCAGCCATCATCCTGCCATATTCTACAGGCATAACATCCAAGATAGTATGCATTAAGTACCAACGCAAAAGAAAACCTTGCAAGAGGCTCCTATAACCATTAGTAGTATCTCCTCAACCACAGTATCAGGAAGGACCTTATTTACAACTGACACATATATCAACTTCACAAGAGAATATCACCATCCTTATGATAACATATCTTCTTGAAAATATGCCACAAGATTGTGTATTCCAAGCTATCATTCCAAGCTCATGTTATTTCTTGAAACTGATTCACCTACATGGGCTCTCAGGACTACCTCAGATAGAGGTCCACAGTTAATAACCAAGTTTTAGAAAACTTCAAAATAGGTTAGAAATTCAGGGAATGCTTTTCAAAGCCTGCCATCTACCAACAAGTTAACATGTATGATATACTACCTAGGACAGTAAACAGTATCTACACTGTTATATACCACATATTTAAAGCAGAACTTGATCCAATTCTTGCTAATGACAAAGCATAACAAAAAATAATAATAATAATATGATGTACTCTGCCCTTAGAAGCTCATCTTTTCAGGTAGCTTCTTAAGAGAATTATTTGCCCATGTCTGTGCCTTATAGATATGCAACACACTTAACAGATGCCAACCTTGTTGAGATCATAGAACAGTACCTGCAGAAAGGAATCTGGTTCATTCAGAAAATATTAGAGCAGGAAAGAAACAGGTAAAGAAACTGGGGGATTAACAAAGACCAAAAGTTCACCTGGAACCCAAGAGGGCAAGTGCAACTTGGATTATACTCCTCTCAAACATACTTCAAACAACAAATATTTCCAACCCGGGTTATTCACTATTCCCCAGCTACTGAACCCTATGACCTTAGTTAGAACTATCACACACCTGAGATTCAGAGGTTTTCACATCTAATACCCCAAACCTTTATGCTTTACTAAATTTCCATGAAAAGAGGAACAACTTGTTTAGGCAGGGATGGGATCTAGGGTTCAAATACAAAGTTCAAATTCAAATACAGAAATTCTGCCCTGCAGACAGAAGTAGGAATAATGTACTTTCTGATTGATTAAAAGAGGAAAGAACCAGAAGACTGAATGTGGTAGTTAACTAAAAATGTCAATATTCCTCTAAGGTGAGGAGAGTACACTGGAGGTACCCAAGAAGGCACCAATCACTTTCACAGTAGGATCAAAAGGAGGAAGACAACACATAAGTGAGATGCTAGCAAAACAGTTCAAGTATACAATGGAGACAGCAGAAGGTAAGTTACATTTTGCACCACTACTACCAGCCGATGGGACTGGCAGTACAGTTAACAGGATTCCTAAAGAGAAGTAAGAATAGTGACTACTACAGGGCAGCTAGGCGGCGCAGTGGATACAGCACTGGCCCTGAAGTCAGGAGTACCTGAGTTCAAATCCAGCCTCAGACCAAACACTTGACACTTACTAGCTGTGTGACCCAGGGCAAGTCACTTACCCCCCATTGCCTTAAAAAAGAAAAAAAAAAGAAGAGTGACTACTACCAATACAAATATCAACATAAAGTAAGGCTGGCAATAAACAGGTGGCCTTCAGAGATATTTGGTTGTTTGAAGAGCTCCAATTAAACTCAGGTAAATTTTCAGGGCACAGGAAAGGGTCTGGTGCTTATCATAGCATTTCCCTGATGTGAATGTACCTATCAACAGCTCAGTAAGCGGAAAGGAACCGGGAAGGCAGTGAGTTGTATTTCTGTTTACCTTCCCCAGGCATCTTAAAAGTTCCATGGCTGTGTTTGGTGCCTTCCCCAAAGGCAACAGGACCAATTTTTGGACAAAGACAAGTTGTAATAAGATTACAGGCAGCCCCAGGAACATTTCTTTTTTAAATGTTTTATTTTTATTGTTCTTTTATTATTAAATCATATTTCTTTCCAAATACATTCCTCTCCTACCTAGCAAGCTATCTCATATAACAAAGTTTAAAAGTTTAATAGGAAAAGAAAGTAACACATGGATCATGTCTAAATACATATGCAATATTCCACACCCACAGTCCCCCACCTCTACAATGGGAGACAGGGAGCTCAACTCAGGGGTCAAACTTTGTCATAACTATACCGTTATCAATTTTGGTTTGCCGCTGTTCTTTCCACTCATATTGGTATTATTATTGTGTATAACTTTGATAGTTCTGCTTCATTTATTCTGCATCAATTCCTAAGTCTTCTCATGCTTTTCTGCAGCTATATTTTTGATACAGCATTTTTTCTATACCTCTGTCCCAAAACCCTATGGGTATTTAAAACTTCAGACATAACAGGGAAGATCCATGCAGGCAATGGAGAACCAATGAAGGATATTAAACAGTCAAATAATAAATAAAACCACTTTTATAAAGATTGACTCAATCAGTGGTTCACAGAATCTATTATCAAGCGCAGGCAAGACAACATGCTTATGGTAAGGTACTAAGTGTCATGCAGTATATTTAATCAGTCTGGATCTGCAGTCAAAAGACCCAAGTTTTAATCCTGGCTCTGCCATTTATTACATGTGTAACCTTCAATAAGTCTACAAGTCTAACCTCTAAAAGCCTCAGTTTCCAAATCTGTAAAAGGGGAACAATGGAACAGACAGCTAAGTTCCCTTACAGCTCTAAATCTGTGATGTACAGACCAGTGGCAGTGGGAGAGACATAGCAAAAGAGTTCCCCATCTGTCTCTAGGATAAAATACCAACTGCTCTGTTTGGTATTTAAAGTCCTTCATAATCTTGTCTCCAGCTACCTTTCCATCCATTCCTCACTAACCCAAAAATTGTTTCTCTCCTAACTACATTCCATTTCCTGTCTCTGGTCCTTTGCACAAGTGGCCTTCATCCCTCAACATCTCTTTCTGTTCACACCACAACAATCCTAGAACAGCTCTCATCACTTCTAGCCTAGGTCATTCAATAGCCCTTTCATTAAGCAGGCCTACACAGTCAGGTTCTCTTCTCCAATTTAGCCTCTATACCTGCCAAACTAATAGCACTAAAGTATAGCCATTTCACTGCTTTGCTTAAGAAACCTAAGGATTCACATTATCCTTCTGATAAAATACAAACTCGTCTACATGGCATTTAAAAACCTTTCATAATCTGGCTACACAGCTTGTCTTTCCATGATGACTGATTACATATTACTCCCCCTCCCACACACGCTATAGCCAAATTGGTCCACTAGTTCCTTTTATGAAAATCCTCATCCTGTATCTCCATGCCTTTGCACCAGGTGTCTACCATCTTGAAATACTCTGCCTCAACTCGATCTCTTGAATCTCCCTTACATTCTTCAAATATCCCCTTCTTCAGGAGGCTTTTCCTGATCTCTCCCCCACCAAAAAAAAAAAATTTATTACTGAGGCTCCCTGAGAGTAACTTACCCAACATCATTTGTACTACATAATAAATATTTCCAAGTCTTCACCCTACCACTAGAGAATCTTAGTGTGGGAAGGAACTCTGTTCAAAATTCACATAGTCCAACTTCTACTTAAAGCATTAATTTGTTTTTGAACATTGCATTCATTCTCTCTTCTCTCTAGGTTTTCATGACAGTTTTCTCCTGGTTTTCTTCCTGTGTAACTACTCCTCAATCTCTTTTACTGAACCTGATCCAGGCCATATTTACTAATATAGGTGTCCTCCAAGGCTCAGGCCTGGGACCTCTTCTTTTCTCTGCACTATATTCAGTTGGAGTAGTCATCAGCTCTCATGGATTCAATTATCATCTCTATGCAAATTATTTTCAAATCTTATTTGTTCAGCCCTGCCCTCCAGTCTCACATCTCTAACTGCCTACTGGATATCTTTCAATTGAATGTCTTGTAGACATCTTAAATTCAACATACCCAAAACTGAACTCAGTATCTTTCCCCCCATCCCTATCTTCTCCCAAACTTTTAAATTACTCTTGAGGGTATCACCATTCTCCCAGCAACTCAAGCTAGAGATCTAGGTGTGTAATATCTCTCATATACTCCCCCCCTTCTCTCCTCTGCCACTGCTACTACCCTGGTGCAAGTCCTTACAGCCTCACCACAAATGCCTAGTGTCTGGTCTCCTAGCCCCATTCCAATGTCTCTCCCCATTCCAATCCATCCTCACTCAGCTGTCAAATTGATTTTCCTAAAGCACAGGTCTGATTACATCATCCCACTCTCCACCATCCAATAAACTTAAATGACTCCCTATTATCTCCAGTATCAAATATAAAATTATCTGCTTAGTGTTTAAAAATCCTTCATAACCTGGCCCACTCCTACCTTTCTAGGTTTCTTATAACACACCTTTCCACATACTCTGCAAACCAGTGACAATGGCCTCCTTGCTTTTCATCACCCACCACACTACAAGAGTTTTCACTGGATGGAATGCCCAGAATACTCTCCCCTCCTCATCTCCATCTCCTATTCTTCAAGCCTCAACTAAAATCACACCTACTCCAAGAAGCTTTACCTGGTCTTCCTTTACCTAAGTACCTTCCCCACTAGTATCTTCAATCTTTGATCTTGTTTGCACATTGTTGTTTGCATGCTGTCTTTCACATTAGAGTTAGCTCCTTGAGAGCAGGCGCTGACTTTTATCTTTCTTTCTAGTCCCTTAGCACAGCGCTGACAGGCCCATGGCCAAAAGCCTACTAAATGCTTGTTGATCTGACTTGCTTTAAAACTTCAGACAACAGGAAACTGGTTACCTATCCATTTTGTAACAACTAATTCAATTCAACAAACAATTACTGTGTCTTCTACTACTCACGTACCAGTTATCACAGGGTTGGTGGAACAGTCACTGATTTCAAGGATCTTTTGACTTATAAGGAAGATATACCATAAACAACTATAAAACAAGGTGAAGGAAAGATCATTCTACATGGAGGGAAAGTTCCAGCCAAGATAACAGAATCACTTGACTGAACTGTAGTGCTCAGAAAAAGAAGGATCAGAATAAGGAACCAGTACAGTGGAAAGGGCACTGGCCCAGAAATTGAGAGAACTTAGATTCAAAGTTGGCCTCTGCAATTTACTAGTCTGAGCTTGAGCAAGTTGGTTACCCTTCCTGGGGCCCAGTTCCTCATCTGTATGACGAAGGGCTTGGACTGGATGCCTCCAATCACAGTCTCTTCCAACTCTAGATATGTGATCCTTCCGTTCCTTGACTGGTACAGTTTGGCAACAAGGATAGCTTATAATGAAATAGTGTCAAATAAGGCTTAAAAGGTTTTCAAGAGCCACACTGTGGAGGTACTCAAAAGATGGCTTGTTAAGAAATGGGTATTCTTTCTTGGGGCAATCTGTGAAGCAGGGTATAGCAATTAAAATTATTTAAGAGGCAGTTAATCCCTCCTTTATCCTTTGCTCAAGCCTTCCCAATCCTTGGATCAAGCAGAAATCTAATCTTTCTTCTAATAGAAGAATCCTTCAAATAAATTTTAAAAATTGATGAGCAACGATACTGTACAACAGAGAGGGAAAATTAAGAAACAAACAAACCCTGAACTAGGAATCTGGAACTAACTTTAAATCCTAACCCTTTCCATCCTGCCTCTGCCAGGTGACCTCAAGCCAAAGAATTCTCCTCCCCAAGCCTATTTCTATAAAATGCAGGTGTGCTGGACCAATCATAATAATAATTATATTAACAAGTCAGGCGAACATAGAGCACTTTAATGAAATAACCCTGAAGGTCCTTTCCAGTTCTAATATTCTATGACTTCATGCAACGTTTCAGACACGTTGGAAACAGACTGAAAAAAGGTCTGACTACTATTTTTAAGCTGATGAAAATAAAGCAAAGAGCACTCGGCCTGCAGGGCTGACTTCACCACAAGAACGGTCCAGCTCCCTTTCTGAGTGCCCATAGTCGTCAGTCAACAAGCATTTATGAAGCGCCTACTACGTGCCAGGCACTGAGAATACAAAAAAAGGCGAAAGACAATCCGCGCCCTCGAGGAACTCTCAGTCTCACCGAGGAGAGAAGACTCAACCACCTGGAATCAAAAGAGATAAGGAGGGGGGCATCCTCGGGCGATGAGCAGGGGGCAGTAAGCCTCAAGGACCCCCGGCCCCTCGAGCCGGAGGACGCCGAGCGTCCGCCCCCGCCCGCGCGCAGCCCGTCAGGCGCGAGCCACCGCCTCGCTCTCCCCGCCCCCTGCCCGCCCCCCGGACCCTCCCGCCACAGCACGGGCCCAGCCGGACCGGGCCGGCAAGGCGTTCGGGCCGGGCCCCCTCACCATCGGAGCGGCTGCCCGTCTCGTTTTTACAGTAGCCGCAGCGGTAGAAGTCCTCGCCCTCGAAGTATTCCACGATGGTCGGGGAGGTTCCGAGAGCCGCGGCCATCTTCCCCAGCCCCGCGGCCAGATCCGGTCGCTCTGAGCCGCAGCCGCTGACACCCCACAATGCCCCGCGCCGGCGAGCAGTGGGGCAGGCGGAGACGGGGCGGGGAGGCGGGCAAAACCACCGGTCCCCCCGAGGGACAAGCCTCACCGGGGCTGACCGCGGCGGGCGGAGAGGGGTGACGACACTCACGCCATATTTGGCAACGGCAACGCGGGGCTTTTTCTAGTCCGCCCCTCGAACAACGGCTGTCTTCAGTGACGGCGAGGCTCGCTGGCCGTGCGAGATAAGCCTCGGGAAAGACGCCGGGTTGGGGAAGTGAGGACGGGAGGGGGGAAGCTGGGCCCGGAGAGCCCGGCCACACTCACCGCTGGAGACTTTGCCTGCCGGGGAGTTGCAGTAGCCGCAGCGGTAACCCTCCCTGGGCCCCTTGTATTCCACCACGGAGGCCATGCTGGGCCTGGGTCTCGCTCCGCTAGCGCCCCCTTCTCCCGCCGCCGGGGGGCGACTCTGTCCCGAGCCCCTTGGCGCCCCCTGCAGGCACCAGCGGGCCGCTGAACGGCCGTCTTGCTCGGGGCGAGGGCGGGGCCGGGCCGATCCAGCCCTCGCCTGGTTTCGCTTTTGCTCCTGGCGCTGATATCTGGAGCATCTGTCCGGAAGGCCGTGGGCTCTGTGCAGAAAAGCCAAGCGTCACATCCCGCCTTCCCCCGCACGAGGAACTCCTGGAAGAAGGCGGGGACGGAGCCAGGAAGGGAGCAGCTTTGCAGGGTCAGGCAGGTGGCTCACGGTGCATAGCACCTAGCCTCGGTTTCCTGATCTGTAAAATGAGGATAATCATAATTAACACAGGGAAGACACTGGAATCAAGAGGGATTGGGGAAAGCTTCCTGTGGAAGGTAGGATTTTAACAGAGATCCAAAGGAAGCCCAGGGAGATTGGTAGAGCATTCCAGGCATAGGGAACAACGTTAATTCAGCGTGTTGTTATTTTTTATAATTCTTTTGTTCTCTTTTTTAAGTGTTTTTTTCTCATTCGTTTCTGAAGGATCCGGTTTTTGTAGGACTGATTTGTTCTTGTTTTGTAAAATCTTTTGGCAAATCTCATAGTAATTCGTTTAGATTTTTTAAAAGAGATTTTTACAGTTGTAATTGTCAAGTTGGGTCTTCTTTGATTCACCAACTAATTATCAGTGAAAGTGGCTTCTCAATTACATATTGCAACATATCTACCTAAAAGTGAAGACCAATATGCACATTTTTATGTAGTATGCAGTATTTATGTGGTGCTCAAAAGAAACAACTTAAAATACACATTGAAGCCTCTCAGATCTCTACTTTTCTCCTGTACCAAGTTCTGATTAAATTATAATTCAAAAGAAATAAAATACATTGAAGCATCTCAGATCTGTACATTTTTCCTGTACCAAGTTCTGATTAAAATATCGTTTAAGGACATAGCATTGTATAGTGGATAAAAGGCTGGCCAATCTCCCTCCCTGCTTCACTCGTTTCCTAGGATAACTGCCCAAACATCATTCTCATTCCATAACTTCCCTGTCAGAAGGGTACATACCATTCCTTCCTGCGTTTTGTATTCACTTAAGTTTAGCAAATTCAATTTAATTCAGTAAATGTTAAGCACCTATTGTGATGCTAGACACTGGAATATTAAGAACCTTTCTGGAATATCAGAAAGCATTCTAATAAAAAATAAGGTGTACCCAAATGACTATAATTTAGAAAGTGATAAGTGAAAAAAAAATAATCCAAAGTGCTGTGAGATTTGAGTAGGAAAAAAAGATTTGGAATAGTAAGATTTTAAACATGAGAGCAATACTGTGTCTTACATTTGTATCATCCATAGCACTTTCCTCACACTTAGTAAATACTCTGCAAACAAATATTTATTGAGTGAATAGCATAAATTCTGTTTTTATTTAGTATTTCAAAACCACCTTCTTTGAGACTCCCATGTGAGACCAAGTTTGAAACCTGAATATATGAGGTATGAAATTAATGTGCATAGCGTACAGTATGACACTAAATCAGTAGGCTCAGGTCTTAAAATCACTTTTTTTTCCTAGAAAAATATGGCATGTTACGTGTTTAGAAGCTGTGGACATGGATTCACTTCATAAATGACATTTTTTAATATCATACATGTGTTTTAGTTTGCTAAATTGAACTATATGACAGGGGAAAGAACAGAAAAATTCTTTTACTGTTGATTCCATTTGTCGTTACACTGTCAATTGAGTAAGTTGATCAATTGCTGTCCTTTCTGTCCTCAGGTGGTCTCAGTCTCTGAATGCCTCTCATATGAGACCAGTTTTGAGTGTGATTCTAGAGTCTCCTCTTCATCATGCCCACAGACATTCTATTCATTCTAAGTAAACTGAGAAGGCATCCTTAATTGGCCTTCCTAGAACAGAATTCCTGCTCAGCTGGAATTAAACCTCCCTCCTCTTTGACATCTTTGTATTTTTTTAACCTCCCAATAAAACAGGGAAAAAAATATGTAATGCAGTGATCACTCCCTTCAGTTTAGATATGAAGCCCTTTTAAAAATATTTTTCCGTCAGTTTTCCTGCCAACTACATTTTTACCTGTTTGATAGTCCTAGTGTTCATTTCTCTTCTGATTAATAGCTTAGTTGACCATAATGAAAAACATTTACATTCAGTTATTTCCATAGCAACCAACTCCAACCCATCCATTCTTTGATATGGATTGTTCTTTTAAAGCAACAATAACCCCTTTTCAACCACATTGTTTAAACACATGGCACTGTCCATTATGGATTATTTAAGAGATTTCAAGAATAAATTTGACTATACACAATGCTTTCCTCTGTTTGCCCTTCCCTTTTCCCTAAGTTGTGACTCCACTGTATTGTGGAAAGGGTTCTAAACTTAGAATCAGGAGAAACCTAGGTTCAAAGCCTATGCCTAATACCAGCTGTGTTGACCCCCTGGACAAGTTAGCACTCAACCTCTGTGAATCTCAATTTTATCATCTGTAAAATAGGGAGGAAAATAATGAAGTACTTCTCTCAGAGTAGCTTTAAGGATCAAATAAGATAATGCATGTCCTTAACGTACTACATAAATGCCAACTAGTATTACTAGCTATTTGTGTGAAATGTTTCATTTGAGGAAAACAAACCAGAGAACATCACCACGCTTTTTGTTTTATTTAGATCTTAATAAACATTTACTTTACCTGTTTTTTCCCCCTGTTTAATAAACCCACTTGGTTGCTGAGGGAACCTGCCTCCTGTAGATTGGAAGGGAGGACCCTTGCTTCCACTTCAGAGAATGATCTCTACAGGGGACTATTGCCTGTTTACTACATGAAAACAAAAAGCCAGGGCTGAGTGCATACGGGGGGCACCATCAGGCCAAATCAAGCCTCTCCTACCTGTTGGTGAGCAAGACAAGAACTGCTGTGGGCCACTTGGTCGGTGCTCTCTCTACCCAAGTGGCATGAGGCCTAGAATATATGGCCCCTATGTTATTTCTCTCCCTGTTTTATCTGTTCTTTAATGATCTCAGGTGGATGATTGGAGCTAGAACAATTTTAATGAGCTTCAAAGGGTTGGAATAGCCAATAGAGTTTGCCAGCAACCCTAAAACAGAACCCTTAGGCAAACTGTTTGGCCCAGCCCAACATTGACTCAGTGGTGAAGACCTTGTGCCCCGAAAACAAAAGCAACCACTTATCTATTTGCTATGCAACACCCCAAAGTTAATTCAGTGGAATGTTGGTATAGCAATCACTTTACATTTGAGCCCACTCTCACCAGCGATTGAGGTGGTGGAGGGAAGAGTGTATTCAGATGTAAATGGTTTATGGAATGGAAGATGGAAGGATGTTTTTGGTTCTTATGATGTTTTTAAAGTAAATGTACTTTAATAAAAATGTGATGTTAATTGATTATCAGTGATCCTAAGGAGATACCAACTGGCATTGGGGTAAATTATATTGGGGAAATAATCACTGGCAATTACTATTGAGCAGAGTACAGTGGAATGGGAGCTTGAGCTAGCAACATTAGAAAGACCACTGAACCCGTTCAGGATACCCCTAGAATCCTAAGGGGGGGGAAGCATTGAAAGGCTGGGGACCCAGCCTCTCCACAGTGATGGGAAGTTGGGAGAGTAAGTCCAAAGTCTATGTTCCCTACAGAGAGAATTCACAGAAAACTAAGATGTGTTAAAGTAATAAAATTTACTGATTTTTTTTTAAGAGCCACAAATTTTTCACTCTTCTGAAGAGGAAGTTCTGTGAATATTTTAAGTGTGGAAAAATTATGAAAGATGTATCTCTTTCCCTTGGAATCTTGATGACTATTTCAGTGTAGGACGCCACCATTGTTGGTGTCTCCCCCTCTTCAGAACACCTATTTACTTACCTATGTACTTTTATTTCTTCCCCTGCCCATCTAGAATAATATGGTGCTCCTTGGGTGCAGAGATCGATTTGTTTTTGTGACTGGTACGTAACAGAGCTTAACATTGTTGAATTATATTGAATTGAAAAGGCAAACAGATTAGAATTCAAGATTGGTGTCTATAGTCCCAAAGTTACCTAGCACAGTGTTGGAAATATAGTAAACTTTGAAGTAGTTGTTCTTTAATTATTGACTAGTAGGGTTACTTCAGCTTCAAGCAGTCTGAATAATAAAACTTAGAACAGAGGAGAACTGTGGAGGATAATTTCTTTATATGAGTTCCCAAATGCCTCTCTTTACCTTTTCATTCAGGAGCTCAAATTGGCTGGCTAGAACTCCTAGGGAGATTTAGTTCATGAAATTCTGCATACAGTATATTTGGCTAGATCCACCATCTGGGTCTCCTTTTTTCCCCTTTACTTCATATTATTCCTGAATCATCTTGTTCTTTCCAGACTGAAAGCGCTTACTGAACATGAGATCCTTGTCAACATACTGCTAGAGACCAGATACAGAGGAAGGTCCCCAGCAGGCTGAGATGAATCCCTCTGATGACTTTATAGTCACAAGACCTGGTTTCAATATCCTGCCTCATTCACTTGCCTGTGTGACTCTTTACACAATGTACTTAACCTCTCTGGACTTCAGTTAGTTTATTGGGAAAATGAATAAGGAAGAAAAACAAATGATGTATCAGGGTACTAAGGGAAAATTTTGTGTGAAGAAAACAAGGAAACTGTGAGTGAGAGAAGTTACGCAAAGGAACTAAGCAAAATCCTAGCTAGTTTACTCTAATTCAGAAATCTGAGGCAAAAAAAATAATATGCATAAATCAGGTATGGAAAAGTCAAAGAATTCAGTAGAATGAATTAACACTTCATACAAAGAATGAAAGTAACACTTCATGTAAAGTTCTTGAGTGTGTAAACCAGTTCTCAAAAGACTATTAGAAAAAAAAAGTTTTTCAAGTTTATGGTTCTTATGGTCAGGCTGCTAATATCATTCCTAGATGAAAGAACTTTCAGAGTTATTACTGTTATATAGTTGCCACAGCCCTTACACTACTTGTGAAAGATCCTGAACTCTCCTTCAAAACAAAAAAGTTAAAACTTCATTTTTAGAGAGGTGACAGCTTGTATGCAGGATTTAGAAAAAGAGTTAAGATAGAAACTTTGAAACTCCTAAAGGTGAGTCAATTAGATCTCTGAGAAGACCCAACAAAGGAGCATTAGACATTTGGTCTCCATACTAAGGGATATGATGGACTCAGGGATTGTATCTCCCAAAAGGATGAAGGCTATGGTAAGAGTCTTAGAAGACTCCTCAACACTGCCCTCCCTTCAGAAAAAGTGGATAGAAATATCAAGAAACTTACCTCCTCTACTCAAAAACAGTATCCTATCCTTCTGGGATCTGGGGCAAATCCTAACTCTAAGTCCTGGAAATGCATTTCCTGAGAGATTACTATTTAATAAAAACTACTGGGAAGATTGGAGAATAGTATGGCAGAAACTGGGCATAGAGCAACATCTTACACCTATACCAAGATAAAGTCAAAATCAGTACATGATTTAGATGTAAAGATTAATACTACAGGCAAACCATGAAGAAGGGAAGAATTTATGACCAAACAAGACATAGACAATATTTATGAAATGCAAAATGGATAATTTTGATTACATTAAATTGAAAAGCTGTTGCACAGACAAAACCAATGCAGCCAAGATTAGGAGGGAAGCAGAAAACTGGGAAAGAATTTTTACAGCCAGTATCTCTGATGAAGGCTTCATTTCTAAAATATGTAGAGAACTGAGTCAAATTTATAAGAATACAAGTCATTCTCCAATTAATAAATGGTCAAAGGTGATGAACAGGCAGTCTTCAGAGGAAGAAATTAAAGCTATCTATAGTCACATGAAAAAATGTTCTAAATCACTATTGATTAGAGAAATGCAGATCAAAATGACTGAGTACCACATCACACCTGTCAGATTGGCTAACATGACAAAACAAGATGATGATAAATGTTAGAGAAGATGTGGGAAAATTGGAACACTAATGCATTGTTGGTGGAGTTGTGAATCGATCCAACCATCCTGGAGAGCAATTTGGAACTATACCCAAAGGACTATAAAATTGTGCATACCTTTTGACCCAGCAATACCACTTCTAGGTCTGTATCCCAAAGACATCATAAAAATGGGAAAAGGACCCACATGTACAAAAATATTTATAGCAGCTCTTATTGTGGTGGCAAAGAATTGGAAATGGAGGGGATGCCCATCAACTGGGGAATGACTGAACAAGTTGTGGTGTATGAATGTAATGGAATACTATTGTGCTATAAGAAATGATGAGCAGGCAGACTTCAGAAAAATCTGGAAAGACATATATGAACTGATGCTGAGTAAACGAGCAGAACCAGAAGAACATTGTACACAGTAACAGCCACATTGTGTGATGACTGACTTTGATAGACTAGGCTTTTCTTAGCAATGCAAGGATCTAAGACAACTTCAGAAGATTCATGATGGAAAAAGCTATCCACATCCAAAGGAAGAACTATGGAGTCGGAACGAAGATGGAAGCATACTATTTTCTCTTCTTTTCTTTTGTTGTTTTATTTCTTCTTTCTCAGGGTTCTTCTCATTAGTTCTAATTCTTCTATACATCATTGACTAATGTGAAAATATGCTTAATATGAATATATAAGTAGAACCTATATCAGATTACGTACTGTCTTGGGGAGGGGGGAAGTGAATGTTAAAAACTCAGAATAAGTTATTTAAAAATTTTTTAAAATGCATTTCCTGTGTTTCTTCATTGAAAGTAATGCCATATTCCTGACAGAATAAAAAAGGTATCTCCAACAGGATAAAATGGAGACAGCAGCAAAATGGACTTAGAATAGGATACTCTGTGACAAAAAAAAAAATTAGTCTATTAAGATTCTCAAAGAATCACAGATTAAAAGGCGTCTGAAAAGCATGCCAGTTGAGAATAAAAAGAAGTAAATAACATTTTTTAAAACTCCCCTAAAACAAGAAAGTACTCCAAAAACAGGATTTCAGAAAGAGAATTTATAAATCAAAGAAGAAAAGCAAGCAAAGAATATTAACCAAGCTTTTTTCAGTAAGACTGTGGTAAAGGAGAAAGAGATGAAAAAATATGAGCAGGTCATCAGTTATCTACTTTTCAATTTTACCATGCAGAATGATGTGACCAATGCAACATCTTAACTGCAAATTCAAAGAAGAAAGGAATGAAAGTACTATTCTATAAAGAAATGTTAAGCGTTCCACCATTTTTGGAAAGGAAAAAAGTTATGTCTCTTAAGTTTACATCTCAGCTGAGGGCTGTCATTAACTATATGGCCAAATACCTACAGCCTTTCATTTTTATGAGGCCTTAAGGGTTCCAAAGAAATTAATATACTGTAATTTACTATTACCCTTTCCTATCTCATCCTAACTTTTCGTTAGCTCTGTCCCTTCAAAATTTGATCTGAGGTATTATTTTAAGGTGGTTGTGGGGGAGGAGGGGAAGACATTGGGAAAGTTCGGCTGAGTGGCTGCCTGTAATCCACCATCCTTCCTTCTCTCTTAAAGCATCAACCTCTATCTATTGGTTCCTTTCCTACTACTTTCAAATATGCCCAAGTTTTCTCTTGCTTTAAGCTATACTCCTATATATCTGTCCTTCCTTTCTCAGCCAAATTCCTCGGAAGAGCTTCTTGCATGTTGTTTCCATTTCCTCTACTCTTACTCCTAATCTCAACTTCCCTCCTCATCACTCAACTGATGTGATCAAATTGATGGTTATGACCATCTTAATTGTCAAATCTGATTGTCTTTTTTTAGTCCTCATCCTTCTCAATCCATTTGTTGTATTTGACACTGTTGACCAACCTCTCCCCCAGGATGGTCTTTCCACACTGGTTCACTTCCTACCTATCTGACTTAACTTTCTTAGTCTCTCTTGCTGGCTCATTCATAACATGCCCCCTAACTGTGAGTGTTCCTCAAGATTGTGTCATAGGCCCTCTTCTCTTCTACGTACTCAGTAACTTCAGCAGCTCCTAGAGGTTTAATTTTCATCTGTATGTAATGACTCTTACACATTTATAGATCCAGCCCTAATGTTCTCCTATCTTCAGTCTCACATCACCAGTGGATGTATGTTGAACATTTCAAACTGTATGTCCCATAGACATCTCAAAGATCCAAACTGAATTATCTTTCCCTCCAAACTCTTCTTCCAAATTTCCCATTTTTGTTAAAGGTACCACCATACTTCCTGTGTCATGGAGATTATAATTAGCATTTACTTAGGTTCTTTGCCCTCACCATATCCAATCAGTTGCCAAATCTTGCCTTTTTTTCCTTCACAACACATTTTTCATTATACCCCTTTCTCCTTACTTAAAAAGCTACCACTTTAGTTCAAGTCCCTCATTACCTCATTACTCCATCGCCTTAGTTTGTTGTAATGACCTAATTGGTCTCCCTTCTTCAACTTTATCTCCACACCAGCATGTCCTCCATATTAAAATAATGTTCCTTAAGCACAGATCTGATCATGTTACTCTACTATTTGCTCAACTCCAGTGACTCCTTATTATTGCCTCTAGGACAAACTTTTAAAGACATAACATGACCTGCCCCTACAACTTCTCTTCCAATTTCTTTCTTCTCCCTTCTTTACAATGCAATACAGCTAAACTGGTCTTTTCAATGTTTTTTACTCATAACCCTGTATCTCCCATCTCTTTGCATTTTTACTAGCCTCCTTTCATTCCTGGAATGCACTCCTTCCTCACCTCTGCCCCATGAAATCACTTTTTTCCTTCAAGCTACAGCTCAAGCACTATCTTCTTGATTCCTCACCTCTACCACCCCCTGCTAATGTCCTCCCTCTCAAACTACCTGGTATTCAACCACTTCATATTTATTCCACACATATTTATACATGGATTTACCGTCTTCCTCATTACAACATAAGTTCTTTAAGAATAGGACCTCTTCATTATTTGGGTACTCTAGCGCAGTGCCTGGCACATAGGCTTAATTAGTTGATTAATTCTTCTGATCAGTGAGTGCATTCCCTAAATTGTCTTTCTCTCATTTCGTCTTTATCCTTACCCAGCCCTTTGAGAAAGAGTATACTTTTGAGTCTGTCTTTGCTAGTCAAAGCAGTTTTTAAGTTCTTCCATCAAGCTTATATAGAGGTTTAAGAGCTTTGGGCTACAATCTTATCTGTGCTCCACCTCCTCCAATATAAAGAACTGAACTTTTTCCTTCTTTTTCCTCCCTTCACAGTTTAATTTTATAGAGCTAACATCTAGTAATATAGCTTCTGTTTTAAAAGCTACAAAAAATTTTCATCCAAAATATTTAACCCTTGATCTTAGAAATATAACAACTTTAATAAGCTTTCATTTTGTCTATTTGACTCTTCAAAAATGGTGGAATTTTCAAGAATACTGAACCAGTTGGCAGTTTTGTTCTACTTTCTTCCTCCTGTTCCTCCCCTTTCAACTTTGACTTTTCAATAAGGATATATATTTCCAGCTGCTTTCCATGGCGAGGTTGGAGAAGTGGATAAGCAGTAACCCATTCATAAAATTTTATTTGCTCTTTCTTCACCTCAAGTTTTGGAACTGGAGGAATGTCGATAGGGATGCTATAAAAACGTCTTTCCTTGTGACTTTGCATAACTTTTCTCCCATATATCATGCGCTTTTGATGGTCTTTGATTTGCTTTGCCACTGATTCTCTCATCTGTTCTCTCGTTTTCTGGATGTCATTATCCTCTTTACTTTCTGCTGTCCAAATTCTGGGAGGAAATGTTTTCCTTGGGCTATCATGAGGGTATAGTATATATGTTTTGTTTCTAAGGTTTCTAGCATGTTTTGCTCTGTAAATATGCTTCTCTATCTGCTTTAGTTCTCTCTCATTTACTAAATAGTCCCATTTTTTTGGTGCCCATATTTTTTCTTCTTTAATTACTTCTGGCTCTTTGTATAGGCCAGGCACCTGTTCAGAAATAGACCTCTGGTATTCCTCCATAATTTCATCATGTCTCTTGGAATAATAAATCATAGCTTGGCTGAGCCAGTAGTCCAGGGATTCAGACTTGAGTTTACAGATGGCTTTATTCTCCTCTTGACATTTTTTAGCTAACAATCTTTGTGCAGCTCTACTATGTGTGCCACCTAAATTCTGTCAAAGTAAAGTATAGAATTTACAATAAAGAAGCTTTTCTCCAGAAAACACATTTTAAATATTTGCTTTCTATGGAGAATGCCAGGATCAGAGTGTTTTCTTACAATTGCTATAGAAGGAGACCTCTTTTATATTAGTGCAAGAATCTTTATGGTCACACTTCACTACCAAGTGTATCTCTCAAGCTTATTGGTCTGTGAGGCATCATCACCAAAAGTCAATAGGCAATTCTCCAAAAAAAAAAAATCCAATGTTGGATGATCACATATGAAAAATTTACAAAATAATATCACAGTTTACAAGTAGCTGGAAAGAACTGCCAGGAAAAAAACTTCCAATTAGAAGTTATAAGTTGGACTTCTAGACTTTTCAACCTATTGTTTATTTATTCTTCTGGTAGACTTTAAATTCCATGGTGATTTGGTATGGTAGTTTGCTTACCAATATCTTTTTCTCCAGAGGGGATCGGAGACCTCTGGCAATCCGAGGGTCTTGAATATTTTTGACCCAGGTTAACCTAGAAAATAAGGTAGAACCAGGCTAAGAGAAAAATCTTAGAAACTAAATGTTTACTAAAGTCTTTGGAACTGTCAAATGGTGCAACTTCGGAAATTAATATGATTTGATCAGTGAAAGTGACATTTAAAAAAGCAGCATTAACATCTCTGCCACTGCACCCTAAGGACCATAGGACTTACAGATAAAACCTTCGTTATGTTATGTCACCCATTCGAACGTGAGCTTCTTGAGAGCAGGAACTGGTTCACTTTTCCCAGGGTTTAGCACATAGTAAGAATGTAATAAATGCTTCATTCATTCATTCATTGTATACAGAAAACTAGCCTCTGAGTTATATGCCTTTGGTACATACTTTCCTGCGTGATTAAGCACCATTATATAATCTTTTAGTGTCCCAGGGAATTCACTAAAACTAAGTGAATGGGCAGGTGCTAATTTCCATTGGTAGTGGGAATTTCCTCAGGACCACAGATGCTGTCTAGTCCAACCATTTCATTTTACTGTTACCTATACCAATGGAAGAAAAAACAGATCCTGTTAAAAATTTTTCTAAAGGAAAAGGAAAAGTCTTTAAATGGTTTCTTAAGTGATAATGGGCCAAGAGGCATAATAATCTGCACGGTAATGATTAGGGCATTTCATTAGCCGACTGAAATATATTCTTGAGAAGACATATTGTTGCAGATAGAAAGCCAGCATCAGAATCAGAAAGTTTTATAAGTTCAAGACCTGCCTACATACTGGCTGTGTGACCCTGGGCAAGTCACTTAACCTAAGTGTCTTGGATAACTCTAAGATTATAAATTGCCAAGCTGCATTGATAGAAGGAATTGATTCATTGAGAGTTGCCAATATACCAATGAAAATACAGGTCTAGACCTTCCTTTCCCTACAAAAATATTTCCTGTTTTTTCCCTCAGGATAGACAACAGTTTCTCTAAAAGTCTCACAGCATGGTTATTTGCAGTTGGAGAAATAATTGTCCTTCCAAAGGAAGAGAACAAGAAACAAATCTATAACCTATCATCCTTTCTCCAAAAGGGAAATCTAGTGGTACTTACTGCTCTTGTGCACTTAATGTCAACCATTTTGAATCTTCAGCAGATTGGCAGGAAGATTGCAGCTCACTGTCCAAATGAGATCCTCCAGAGGTAGAAGTTTCTGTATGTGGAGGTATTTTGCTATCTTGAAAGAATTTCTTTTCTTTTGGTAGACATTCAGCAACTGACCTCTCTGCATTTAATTGCATATGCAGTATTTTTGCTTTCTGATGCTCTACTTTTAATGCCTTCTCTTCACTCAGTCTGTCCTCAACCCTAGACACTTAGATTCCCCTCCTCTTTCCTTCTGATTTGCTCTCTATTTTATACTCTGCCCCTAGTCTCCAAATCTGTTCTCTGTATGGTTTGTAGCAAATGGTTGCTTAGGATGAACATTTATTTGCTCTTGCCTTGGGTTTGTCTACAGGATAGATTAATGGCACTGTGAGGAAAGATCACAAACACTGCTTGTGTCATCATTGGCCAGGTTTGAAACAATTATGAAGTAGGGTGTTAAGGCATTAATGCACTAGTGTTGTGGCTGTGAGAGTAGAAATGAGGTGACATATCCAAGAGATGTTGGGAAGATAGACCTGACATTGACATTGGCAATTCTTCTACAATTGCAGATTGACACCTGCTTAGCAATTTGTAATTTTAAAGATTTGTCCATTATCACTGAAATGTTAATCAATTTGCCTAGAGCCATAACCAGTATGTACCAGTGGCAATACCCGAACATCCTTGAATCTATTCCCTCTTACTATGCCACATCACACTACCTCTCTCACACTACATTATAAAATAGTAAGCATTAAAACTACTTATTAATGCTTGAAAACCAGGAAATAAGGTTGGTGAAATAGACTAAAAAAGTACGACCAGATTCAGAGCTCGGCACAGCAGAGCAGAGTGGAGAGGAGTAGACCAAAGCAAAGAAGAGGAGAGTACCACAAGGGAGACATGGAGAATCATTTCAAGTATGAGGATTATAAGAAAACTGCTGAGTAGCTATTATCCCAAACTAAATATCAACCTGAAATTGCAGTGATCTGTGGTTCTGAATTGGGGGAGCTGGCAAATAGACTGACCCAACTCCAGGCCTTTGACTACAATGAGATACCCAGCTTTCCTCAAAGCACAGTACCAGGACACGCAGGATGGCTGGTATTTGGATTCTTAAATGACAAGTGCTGTGTGATGATACAGGGCTGATTCCACCCTTGTGAAGGCTACCCACTCTGGAAGGTAGCATTCCATGTGAGGGTTTTTCAACTTATGAATGTGCACACCTTAATTGTCACCAATGCTGCTGGTGGGCTGAACCCTGAATATAAAGTTGGGGATGTTATGCTGATCCAAGATCATATCAACTCAGAGGCCCCAATGATGAGAGGTTTGGAGAAAGGTTTCTTCCCATGTCTGATGCCTACGTCAGCATTCTGAGACAGAAGGCCCATTGCATATGGAAGCAAATGGAACAGGAACGACCACTGCAGGAAGGAACTTTGAAACCATTGCAGAGTGTCAGTTTCTGCAGAAACTAGGGTCTGATGCTGTTGGCATGAGTACAGTACCAGAGGTGATAGTGGCCAGGCATTGTAGCATTCCAGTCTTTGGATTCTCCCTCATTATGAACGAATTAGTATTGGATCATGAAAGCTAGGAGACCACCAATCACAAAGAGGTACTGGTGACTGGGCTCCTGGCTGCTGAGAAGTTGGAGCAACTTGTCTGTACTCTTGTGTAAAACATGCAGCCACCTTCTGAGAAGACTTTTTGACCCACAGGCTGCCTGGCGTCTCCTTTCCCGGCTACCCACTTTGTATTCCAGACAGTGGCCAGCTTTGCCTCTTTGCTTTGAGCCATTTAGCTTTTTGGCCTGAGATTGTGGTAGAGAAGTGAGAAATATTTGTTTTCCACCTCCTTGGAATATCTACTTATCCTTTCAGGCCCTTCCTAATGGTACCTAATTCTTTTTTATTCCATTTGTCCCTTCCCCACCATGGAAAGCTGGATCATTCTATTGTAGCTCCTACCCACAGCCAATATCCTAACATCCTTCATTCTACCTCCAGTAGACTCGTCTAGGGATTAAGTCCACTTTACAGTAAGATTAGTGCTAACATTTTGAGAAGACCACTCATACATTCCCTAAGGCCTCATTTTGCCATCCTATGACTTCTAAGGTCCTTTGTGGTCCAGACCAGTGGGTATCACAAATTTAGTACTATGTGGGAATAAAAAGACAGACAGAAATGTTTCTGCCTTTCTATGCTGAATGCTTGACTGGATGAGAAACAACAGTTTAGGCTATAAGAATGTGTAAGTATGATGATGACAAAAGGTATACTGGCTTCTTAGACAATAAATAATGGATGTTTCACTGGCTGTATATTAAAAAAAAAAGACCAGTTGAACACATAACCTAGGGGCTCAGTCAACCCAAGAACACAAACTAATGAGGGAAGAAATCCCTATTCAAGAACAACCAGTGGGAAAACTGACAGAAATTGGGCTTAGATCAACATCTTATCAAAAAGCTTCATGGATAAATGGCCTTAACATAAAATGCCACATTATAAAAACAAAGAGAATATAAGTATCTTTCATATTTACAGTTTTGGAAATAATTCATACCAAAACAAAGAATAGAGTATTTGAACAAAGAAAATCAATTGACTTAGAATAAGAAAAGAAACTCACCTTTGGGGAAAAAATCTTCATATCAAATAGTCCTATTAAAGGTCTGATGCCCAAGATATATACAGAATTCATTATATACGTATGTGTGTGTATATATATACACACACACACACACACACACATATAATCAAAAGCCATTCTCTAATAGATAAGTGATCAACAGATATGAACAGTTTTTAAAAGATGACATACAAATGGTTAACAACCATATAAAAATGTTCTAAATTACTAGTAATAATGGCAGCTGAGTGGCTCACTAGATATAACCCTAGGCCTAGAGTTAACAAAACCTGAGTTCAAATCCACCCTCAGACACTTACTAGTTGTGTGATCCAGGACAAGCCACTTAACCTCTGAGTCAGTTTCCTCATCTGTAAAATGGGAAGAATAATAAAACCTTCCTCCCAGGGTGGTTGTGAGGATCAAATGAGATAATAATTGTAAAGTGTTTAGCTAAGTGCCTAGCACATAGTAAGTACTACATAAAGGTTAGCTATTATTAGTATTATTAAATAAATATCTAAGAAATCGTGAGGTTTCACCTCTCTTCAAAGTGACAAACATGATAAAAGATGAAAGTAGTCGTTATTGAAAGGTCTTATGAAAAGCACATTAAAACTGTTGGGTTGTGAATTGATCCAAACTTTCTGAAAAATAATTTGGAACTATGCTAGAAAAATGAAGTATTTGACATTAGTGATACCACTACAAGAAATGTACAAAAAGAAATTCTAAGAGGGAAATTTTGTATATATGACAAAATATTTATAGAAGCATTTTTTAAGTAGCCAGAAACTTGAAATCAGAAGGGTGCACCTTGTCTAGGGAATGGGTAAGAAAGTTGTGGTATATGAATATAAATATACTGAAATAATAGTGAACCCTAAGAAATGACAAATATTAAATCAGAAGGTCTTAGGAAAATATGTTTGAATGAATACAAAATAAAGTAAGCAGAGCCAAAAGAACAATATACATAATGGCTACAATAATGTAAAGTAAAACATGAAAACACTTCAGAACTCAATAAGCAATCTTAATTCCAGAGTATTGATGATATAAATATACCTCAGTCAGTCATTCAATAAACATTTAAATGCCTCCTATGTGCTGGGCACTATGCTAAGTGCTAATGATACAAAGAAAAACAAAAACCATTCCCTACTCTTAAGCTCAGTCTGAGGGAGATAATATGCTAATAACTATGTACAAACAAGTTATATGTAAATTTTTTTTAAATCAAGTTATATGCAGGATAAACTGGACATAAACAAGAGAGGCACTAGAATTAAGGAGCATCTCAGTAGAGAGGTCTTGTACTATGGAAGCAGAATACCCTCAGACACGGTCAATGACTTTTTGTTACATAAAAATTCTGTAAGGGACAAGTAATGCGAAATGATATAAAAGAAGAACAATAAACAAAAAATAAAATTGAAGTAAGCACTATCTATAGCAATCACCTGAGCTACCATTCTAATAAGCTTGTCAAAATGAAATAAAGTGAGTTTGGCAAATTTGCTTTTTATGAAGCAGAGCTGGCTCTTACCAGTTTTCCATGGTGTATTCTTATGAAAATATCACCTCTCTCTCCTTCTACTAAGTTTCACACAAATAAAAAGAGTAGATTTGGAGTCCAAGGACCTGTATTCAGACCCCGCTTCTGCCATTTACTGCCAACCTCTTCCTAGCTCCAATTCTAGAATTTTGTCTACTATACCATGCTACTCAAGGAAGAGGCAAGCAGTTTATCTGAGCCAGACTACAAACTAATTGAGGACAATCAAACATGTTCATACCATAACCCTACTTATCTTAAGTTTCAGTTATCTTTTAACTGTTTTCACTCTGTACTTACTATTCTGAAGATAATCCTGCTTAATAGAGGAAGAGATGCAGAATAGCTGAATAGTTCTGCTTTCTTTCTCATATTTATTTTCCTTGTATCATCCAAGTGAAATAGGATTCCTATTTCTACAATGAACTTCCTCTTGCCTGTAACATACCTTATTTCTTCTTTTTAAATTTAATTTTTTCTCAATTAACAAAAATCTAGTTTCTTTTTTTTTCTCAGTTAGCTGTTTTCCTTCTAATTTTAATACTGGTTTTGTTTGTACAATAATTTTTTAATTTTATGTAATCAAAATTGTTCATTTTATTTTCCATGATCCTCTCCATCCCTTTTTTGGGCATGAACTCTTCTCTTATCCATAATTGTTAAAGATATTTTTTCCTTGCTTCTCTAAAACAAGATCTAAAGGATCTTAAAAATAATATCCAAGTCATGTGTCTATACATGGTATGAAATACAGATCTAAACCTAATTTTTGCTAGACTGCTTCTTAGTCGGCCTAGCAGTTTTTGTCAAATAGTGAGTGAGTCTTTAACCAAATAGTAGCCAAAGACTTTGGGTTTGTCAAACACTATGTTACTTTGTTTTCTTCCATATGTTGTGTTCCTAATTTGTTCCACTGATCAACCTTTTTATGTTTAATCATTATCAAAAAGTTTTGATGACTATAGCTTTCTAGTGCTAGGTCCTTTTTTTCCCACCTTTTTTTTTTTTATTTCCCTTGAGATTCCTGAACCTTTGTTCTTCCAAATGAATTTATTCTCTCTAGCTCTTCAAAATAATCTTTTGGTCAAGTGAACAAGCATTTTTTAAGTGCCTACTATGTGCCATGAACTGTACTATATACTGGGG